CCATGACCCATCACACAGGAAACCCCACAGGCATGTCTTCAATAACACATGGTTCAAATAAAACGTCTTGTAATAGAGTAAAACAAAGTAACAAATTTCATCTTTTTATCAGTCACTTTTGAATATTTCCAAACATTTACAAAGTATGTTATTGTAGTTACTCTGTTTTCAGACAGTAATCTGACTTATTTTTTCTTCACTTGTTCTTTTCAGTATCGTCGGTAGAAAAAGATTGCCTCTGCAAAAGAAAAAAAATCATATATGATTGAGTTAGTTTAAATTTTGCTTCAGTTTATTCCACTGCAAAAGAGCACTAGACAAAGGAAGCCTAAACAAAAAGCCCAGGCACTGAGAGCAGGGTGCTTTGTCTTTTTTTTTTTTTTTATTTTCCTTATCTTCACTGAGCATCACAAAGAACAAGAAGAAAGAAAAAGGCCACAGTTATTGTATTTTCACCTTCACATAATGAGGTTAATACTGAAAAATGAAGCTTGTCTTTGAAAATGACAAACGGACTGACTGACTGACAGAAGAAAGGGGGAGATGAGTCAAGTTGTGCTTGTTCATATTGTTGTTGGAAACTACTTTTTTTTTTTTTTTTTTAGCATTTCAATTACAAAGTCATATCCTAGTTCACAACATCATCTCTGGCCTGTTTAATGATCTGCTGTTTTCATTGATGGCTGATGACTGTTTTAGCCAGTTGGAGACATAATTGACCAATCAGAGCTTAATTGGATTACGTAAGAATGTAGACATGTCATCCTGTAGTGACAGGCAAAGATGAGGTGGACGTAGCTAGGTATTGTAGGTTGTTATATTAACTTGATTTACAGAAGTTCCAACCTTTAAATCGACACATTTCTTTGATCATTGTGAAAAAGACGGTCTGGTAAAGAAACAAGCCCATAGGTCATCTGTGCAAGCAGCTTATTACAACTCAAGCTGCCATAGTTATTGTGACTGGAACAAAGGTGGACGTGAGGAGGTCGGGATGGATCGACAGGTAGAACGCAGGACTTTCACAGACTAGACCGCTTGAAACCAATTTGAAACCAGTTTGAAACCAATGTCACAGAGTCATCATTTTATACTTTTAACCACGTCTTTCCCACAACCCTAACTCTACATTTGTTATAGTTACCATGACGACGACGGTCCTGTATGCCTGCTGCCATAGAGGCACAATTTTAGGAGATGCTCCTATGGGTTGTAACATAGGGTAGGAAACAACAACCTGTATGGTTGTTCAGGTTGGATGACTTGTTGTGTGAATCTTTACTGCTCTGAGCAACCTCTTCCACTGTCAGTCTGGTTCTGATTGGTGGAGGGCAGTAATACATCAAGTGTTGTCAAGGACGTTCTGTCTGACATCAAAAACCCAAAGTATTTTCATATTTCAGTCAAACATCAAACAGAAACTGTTTAAACCAAGGGGTCCACACTGAGGATGCTGGGAGGACACAGACCATCCATTTGAAGGTGATAGCTGAATGCCATTAATTTGAGGAAATAGTACATTATTTGGTAATTCCATGACACAAATTATTAATTTGAGGGAACTAGTTCAGCAGTTTTGAGTCCAAAGGATTAGACTGGAACAGAAAATTGATTAAATCAAGGCAAAATTAAGTCTTATTGTTCTTGCTGGAGAACCCAGACTAAAACTCGTCTGGGCCAAGTTACATGTAATAAATTCAAATCTTGTACAGTAACCATTCATGCTCCTTTTTAAACAATCAGTTCACCCAAATCGCGACATAGAGTTAGTGGTATTTAGCCATGCAAACGTTTGGGTTTTATTTGTTTTGGATGTATCTGCCACCACTCAAATACAATGGTGTAAATACAAAAGTGTTGTGTTCCTGAAACATCAGCATCAACTGGGAAACTGTCAGATGGACATGTTGTATCATGTTTATTGAACATGTGTAGAAAAAAAATGTGGAGACACAGTGGCTTTAGCAATAGTTGGCGTTGAACGGTTATAGTAGTGTAAGAGTAAGACTAGTAGTTTTCATTTGTGCTAAGCTAGGCTAAACACATGCTGGACCTGTCTTTGAGCAGGGTGCACAGAGATAAAACTGATACATATCTTCTGATCTGACTGGTGAGAATGTATGTTAGGAATAACCAATAAACCAATTATCCAGAAATTACTGAAATGTAAAATGTCTAACAATTTACTGCTAGTGTTGACCAACACTGAGAGCACATTATTTAATACATTTGACCTTAAAATACTGTTTTGTAAACAGAGTTACTTTGGACCCTCAAAGATACGGTCTCAAAAATGATAAAATGCCTCCTTTGTTTGTTTCAGGTCACATGCCCTTTCCCAATTTCAAATCACCTGTAAACTTTATTAATTGAACTTAGCTCAGTTTGTATGCCTTTGTCATTAATACAAACTTAAATACTAGTGGGGTTCAGTGAGCATAGGCCTACAAACTACAGTAAATTACTTTAGAGTTTTCAAAAACTTAAGACCTATACTGTATACATGTATGAATATGAAACTGGAAAATATTAATGTCATAGTATAAATACTCATGAAGAAAACTTTAAAAATAGTAGCAGGAGTTTGAAATGATTTTTTCTTCTGGCAGTTGATATTTGTATGAATTAAACCTTTTGATTTATAGAGGTTAAAGACATGAAAACAGGCCCCTTTGATTGTTCATTTTGTCTTTCTCAGAAATTATAGTAGTTTTATACTGATCATTTTTATAAAATGTTCTTTTTCAAATTGTTTTGTGTGGAAAAATACAAATTAAACTTTATATAAATGTACCAAATTTCACATTTGTTGTGCTACTGATGTCGGGTAGTGCTCATCTCTGGTGTGTACTCAAATGTATTTGTTCATTTAAACGGGGTTAACTATCATGAGAAAAGTGAAAAATGCTTCCTTGGAAAACAAAGGACAGGAGTGGCCGTTTTGAATTCAACTCATTATTGCAGTAAAACTGGTACAGAGTAACAGATTACAAAGCTCATGGCACAGTCACTGAAAAAGAGAAATGAGGTGTGTATGTACAACAAGGAGGGAAAAGGAAAAAAAAGTTAACATTTTGGCTAATAGAAACATCAGGGGTAACATAAAAATGAAGATACTGTAATTCGGGAGATGACTTGATTATACAACAAAGAGAAAATATGAAATGAAGCATCGTAAAAATAACATTACTTAAAAAATACATTTAGCACTTACACTGACAGATTCAATCCAAGTGTTTAACCTAGGTCCAATTCAAAGCAGCTTTTCCTTTTGATAAAAAGCTCAATTTTAATGGCAAACACTGAAAAGAAACGACTGAAACTGCCTTGCACATGATCTGATATCTTTTTGGGGAAATAGCTGATAAGATTGTTTGCTGACGACCTGCTTTTTTATATTAGCAACGCTCTAATCCTTTACAAAATTTTCATATATTAATCTTGAATCAGTTGCTGAGGGTCTTTCATTTAATCAACATTTACAAGCCATTTTGAAGGAAATAAATGCACAGGAGTCAGAGCCAGCTCAAGCCACTGGGGGGGTGACAAATTGAAGTGAACATGTGAGTGATCTTTGGGTACCTTATTCAGTTGTTGTCGGGATTTAAGCAATTAAACATTAGTTAGTGTATTTTAGAGTTCTGGTATCATGTGTTTTTTAATAATATATAGTTTGAATGTTAAGTAAGAAAAACATTTTACAGAATACTTCTTTTAGGTTTAAAAGTTGTTTTCGTTTTCTCTAAATGATTGTATTAACTCATAAGAAATCCTTTACACTTCCCCAAAAATGGCTTGTGCCGGCTCTGACAGGAGTGATTCTCGGTGCAAGCAAAGACCATAATTTGACTTACACCTCAGATGGTTGGCAACCAAAACAACATACAGTACTGAGCACCACTGACCGAAACTTAAAGTTGGCACCTGGCTACTGTAACCGGACGAATACAACCTCACTAAACCTCAAAACAAGTTCATCATCATGATCATCGCTCTCACTGGCAAGCCCTCACCCCACAGAAACCCCACAGAAAATGTTTTATGACTATTTACACATTTCTCTGCAAAAAATACAATTAAAAATGGTAATGTCATGAGGCATGAGAATTAAACAAATATCATATATCTTTTATGATTTATGATTCCTCCCTTCAACCCTCAAAATGTTCCCCACAGATATAAACAAATGTAAAAAAAAAAGAAAGAAAAATAATAAAGAAAAAAAAAAAGATTTTGGAACTTTTGACCTCACTACATTTTCAATGTGACACATTTTTTTTCAACACACACTGAATTTTACTTTTTTCATCTTTTAACAAAAAAACCGATACAACATATTTCTAAAACACAAAATAACAACAGTCTACATGTAAAAATATAACTTTTACATACACAATTTCAAAATAATGGTAAAGTTTGCCATTTTGTTGCATACAATTTACAAACGTCTGTGTGTTGTTGCCTTGGATATATAGCAGTGAATGGAGCTGATGGTACTCCAGTCCCATTTTGTCCTGCGCAGGGTGCCGTACTAGTCAGAGGGTGTTGTCATGGCAACAACAGAGAACACAACAAAGTCAGTTGAAAATTTATAACACTGAGGGGCCTCGCCAACTTCTGCCAGTTCAGTCTTTGAGAAAATAATTCCTCCCCAAGCAAACACTTTGCAACAGAAAATAAAAAAATAACAGAAAACGGCACCCTCCTTATATATCGTATATATTTTTTGTACATTTATATATAGATTGATTTATTCAAATAGATTCTTTTCCAGTTTCCGTGCCTTCCTTTTGATTGGGTAGGATTTTAACCGCGTCAAAATGACCACCGACAGAGAACAATGCTGTCGGACAGAGAATTGTATTGTTTTTTTTGTTTTTGTTTTTGTTTTGTTTTTTACATTTTCTGTAATAGACATGTAAACCAGAACAGACAAAGAAAAAGTAATAAGAGAAAAGATTCTTCTTAAAAAACGGAGCGAGAGAGAGAGAGATAGAGAGAGAGAGAGAGAGAGAGAGAGAGAGAGAGAGAAAGAGAGAGAGAGAGAAAAGAAAGAAAATCTGTTTTACAACATACAACCACACACTTTGTACTGAAGACTACATTGGCTTACGGTCAAGCCGATCAAATATTGATAAAAAGCTGATAAGCTATAATACAAGAAGAGACGCGTTGTTCACCATGGAAACAGGGATGGGGCTTGGAACAGGAAAGTGAGGTTTGGGGGTTATGGAGGACTTGGGGGGACGGGGAGGACTGGGACGGGGGCTCGTCTTGCTAAATCAAGCGTCTGTCCCATTGGCTTAAAGCCAGAACACGCTGTCTACTTACATATAAGCGTACAGTACATTAAATACAGTTTTGTTTTTTATCCAAAAAATACTTTTTTTTCCTTTTTAGCTTTTTTTAAATTCCCAGGTCTGGTAAAAAACCTGACTGCATAGAACCTAACGACTAAGAACAGGTTTCCCTAAGCTTGCATCCTATTAAAAGACCAGGTAAATGTCCTCCTCTGGTAACTCGAATGATATGAACTCTAAAAAGGCACATTGGTAGAAGTGTGAATGTTCAAATTGCATCTGTGGGACCGCTTAGGTGGGGCAAGAGGCTTGGGAGAGGGGCTAGGACTCTCGTTCAGGGCTAATAAGGCTAGGGTCAGCAGAGAAGACAGTACTGGGACTTGGGATTAAACATAGGCCTGGACTGAAAAGGGTTTAACTTGGGGTGAGGGTGAAAGAGGACTTTCAGACTGACACCAGAAAACAAAGGATGTTGTTGCCTTAAACTTTTCCTCCTGACCTCTCTGGTTCCACCTGCTTGCAGTCATGACTTTTGTCTCCCACCTTGTCCTGATCCTGACTTTCCCAAACCTGTATCACTCAGAAATCATGACGATCATAGAACTACCCAAAAAACTTGGTTAAGTCTTCGCACTTAATTCTGACGGGATATTACTGGTTAGGATTCTGGATTGGACCTCTCTCAGATGTAGACCACTGATCTGGTTTCAGTTGATTCAAAACGGCATATTTGTTATGAACGTTCTGAATTTTCCTGCGTCTTGACCAAACCAAGATGAGCAAAATGACTGGGCCCAACAGCGGCCTAATTTGTTCTGAGGGCTGCTAGATGTGGCTGATATTGGCCAAATTATCCAAAATCTGAAACTTTAAAACTTTGCCTAATCTGGCTGTAATATATGAGCCAGAGTCTGCTGACATACAGGAACACCAATTGTTGTTTGCATCAGAAAAATAGAGACTATTCCAGTTCCTATTCAATCATCACTGCAACACCATCAAGTGAAACATAACAAGGACTGCAATGGAACTTGAAGAAGTTCAATGAGACTTTGCAAATGCTTGCAGCAACAGACACCTCATCAATGATATGGACTCGTCCTTTATTTTGCCAAACACAAAGTGTCAATCAGAAAGTCCCCCCCCAAGGTTGGTACTTGGGGCTGGGGAGAAGCCTGAAATTAGGGTTAGAGGTTTAGGGTTATGATTGGACAGGCACTAAACCAGGAAATGAGGGAATCTAGTGAATCCAATACAGGAATGCTTTGACTACTGCTGCTTGGCCCCCAGTAGAAAATCATACACCCCTCACCCCAATGATTGTTCCCTTGCTTCCCCTGCAGTGTCAACACCTCTGGCTTCTCAGTTTGTCTTTCTCTCCCTCGAGCTCTAACTCCTCAGGATGATGGCCTGCCTCAATCCTGCTTTCCCCCTCCATGACTCCCCCACATCCTGTAGTTCAGGCCTTCAGGACCCCGGGAGCACTGGATTCAAGTAGAGCGATTGTGATTCAGGGAATGTGCTAAACATGGAATAGAATTCACGTCAGTGCTCAGTCCAGCCCTCTTCCCTCTCATCCGCCCATCCATCTATCTGTCTTTTCCTTGATTTGTAATCCTTCAATTTCAGGAAAGGTTTGAACACTAGTCTCAAACTCTAGCTGCTCTGCAAATGCTGTGGAATATCCGACAAAGAACCTTGATTTGTGACGATTTGATTTCTGCCCTACAAACCTTCAACAACAATCTCAGATGAAGATGTCAAGAAAAGCCTTGCCTTTCTGCCGCATTTAGAAGTACACTTTTGCATTACTGCATGACTTTTGCCGGTAATTCCTCTGCCTTCAATAATTTGAACATCCCAAACCCCCTGGAGTCACTCATTGATTGACTGATTAATTGATTCAATGATTGATCCTCTTAGTACTCTCTTCCTCCCAGTAGATACACACGAGCCAGCTGAAGTTTCTGTATTTGTGTTCACACTAAAAACCTATCCATTCTTACCATTTTGCAGTCTGAAGAAAGTCAACGTTGCTATTAGCATGAAAGTCCAATGAAAATACATAAACAGAAATATTCATATTTGTTTTACACTTACAATCTAAATGTTTAGGAGGGAATGCATTAGAAGGGGAAGAATGTGTTGCCCCTGTTTCCTGCTTATTTCTAGGCATCTATGATAGTCAAAAAGCATTTGTTAGCTTAACTTTTGTTCAGATCACTCAACTCTGAAAAGCAGTTGGGTCACAACATATTTTGCGTCCTAATCTCTTCCTCAGGTTAATTTATACTTGAAGATGTGTGGTTTGTAAGGGGATGTGTGATTGTGCAGCCTGCGTCTGTGATACTTCCTGGAAATTTCCTGTTCTTTTTCTTTGTCCTGTTTTGTTTGCTTTGTTTCTCCGTGTGTATCTATCTGACTGGTTTGCATCCAAGAGGAGATCAGGCACAGCTTCATCCACAGTGTGGCGTTAGATTGCCATTCAGTCAGAGATGCGCCAAGGCTGCATTCAACAACAGCTGCGCAATGTTGCTTTAAAAAAGAAAAAAAATCTCTTAAACACTTTGTGATATGTTTTGTTCCATTCTGAAAAGCGCTCTCCAACCCCCTAGCCTCCTCACTGCCCGCATCCAGTTGCACTTTTTTTAAACAAGTTTTCATCATTTTTTCCTTTTCTCATATATATATACTATATATATTTATATATATATAGAACCCTTTTGTTCTTTAAAACTGGGAATGCTGATAAAACAAGTAGTACAAGAAGAATTTCTTGGATGATGTGATTCCAAAGACTTTTGTCCATTGCTGTCACTTCGTGTGAAAAGCTCCCATTAACTGCCACTTTGTAGCAGCCATGTTACAGCGGCCGTTTTAACGTCTCCACAAAGTAGCATCCAGTTCACTTCAGCTGGAGATGCAAAGTGATGAAAGCGACTAATGTGACTCTGCAGTTTGAGTTCTCGACGGGAGAAGGAGACAAAGGCGAAGAAGAGGATCAGAGACGACAGATGAGAGGAGAGAAAGAGGCTGATCTGATTGGTCAGGCTGAAGCAACAACAGGTTTGATAGATTGCTGGGTTGTCATGGAAACGCCGTCAGAGGAAGTGGTCACTCATCATCTTGATGAACTCTGGCACCTTAGACCTGGAGGCAGAAAGAGCACAATAAAGAAATGGAGGAAAAGGAAATTAGTACATTGCACAGACAAACAAGCTCATGGAAAAAGATTTGTTTATCTTAACTCTAAAGCCTTAGTGGTTGCGGTTTTTATTACAACCTACACCAACAATAGGGCTAAAAGTATCAAGTTTGTCCCGTCATTAGCGAAAAAAAACTCATGGAGTGCCAAAACCAGAAAGAGTTTATCTTCTGGGGAGCATGAATATGCTCAATATAATAAGGCTACATATTGGAATATTTAGTGTTTCTGTTGTACAAGTGGACATTCTGAACTGATGGTGATACCAGAGGAAAGGTCATGAACAACCAAATAATTAGGATTCATCCTCCGGTGACCTGGAATTTCCATAATGATGTTCCAGTCAGTAGCTCCTAAAATAATTTTTGCTCCGACTAGTGATAGAAACATCATCTTGAAAACCCTCCTTGTTGGTGCATTCAAGGACCCTCCAAAATCAGTTGGACGATACATAACATTGGTTTGTTGCTGAGCAGAAACAGAATGACCAAAGTCATATGATAAATCAATACCACTGCTTCAAAACATCCATTGAACTATGTTGTGGAAACTTACAGATTACAGCCAAATTTGTGTCACATATATTGTATCTGTAGATTTTTTCAGCAACAGATAAATAGATTTTGGATGTTTGTGATGGAGTTTGCTGAATGCACCACAGAGGAGCATTTCTTCCCTTATCTGTGACTTAAATGTAAAAGAGACAAAACAAGTTCCCTAAATGTTTGTTTTCGTAGAAATGAAATCAGTGGGAAGTCAACACTGATGTATGATTTGGAAAATCATAATCAAGAATGTATTCATGTCCTCCTCTACTAAAACACTGCACAACTCCTTAAGGAGATGCTAAGTTATGCTAAGCGCTGAATGACAAAGCTTCCTTGGGGCACAGATTTTGGTCATTTTTGGTCCGCTTCCTTGTAAGGTCAATAATATGTTGAGAATGAGTCTTTCACTGTGAAGCTTTCCCAGATAAGAAACCATTTGTGGTTTTGTCTCAGGCCTGATCCTAATCAAGGACCTTCTGATACCTCAAGGCTACAGAACATTAGAAAACAAGCTCTATTACACATTTAACTCGAGTCACATGCAAACACAAACACGCTGACTGACTGTTGAGAGAAAGCACAGTTGTAGAGCCAAGAACACAAATGACACATTTCCAGTAAAAAGCAGCGACAAACACAGTCACACATTACAGACATTAAAATCACACTTACTGCCAATCTGTTGTTAAAATGTACCCAGACCAGACAGAAACTAACTCCTGTATTTTTAGCCAGCCACAGTTTCAGCTCTGCCAGACTTTAACTGTCAGGAACTGAACTACAAATTAGTTCAAATAATCTATATGTTGTCTGTGTACGTTTTAACTACCTTTTTGAGGCAGATCTATTTAAAACTAATTTATTTATTACCTGTATGATAGATAAATTACATATATAAATCTCTCTCTCTATATATATATATATATATATATATATATAGATTTATATACATTTATATATATAAATTTATATAAAATGAATGAAATCAAATCTGAGCTCTCAGTTTTATGATGCAATACTTAAACATGAACATATCTGCTTTTTGGTTAACTTTTATTTAGGGACCTTTTTGCTGGGAGCAGTTCTCTCATATTTTTCTCTTTTATATTGAAAGTTGGACACCAAACAGGACGTGTTGTTTTTCCCAACCACTATTTTCCTGACCAGCTTAGTGCACTTGTCCCAATAAAATTGATCACTTTATATTTTGGTTTTGTGATAAAAAACTGAATTAAATTTCAAATAGTACCTTCCTGCAGCTCTATTCTGCAGGAATGAAATGGTTAAATCATACACAGACAACACATCAATGGATCTCAGACAACTAATGGACAATTTATGGCCTATCCATCATTTGAGATGACAGGAATTCCCTTTTTCCAATTTATTAAATGGAATTGAAATGTATATTAAAATGTACAAATATGAAAATTATATATATACACTAGTAACATCATCTTATTTTCATGGGAGGCTTGTTTTGTTTGCCTGTGGTTTCCAATCTGATGGCAAGTGATGGGGTTTATAAAATGATTAAAGTTTCTGAACTGGTTTCTAAATCAGGATTCTTTGGTTTGACTTAAAGGTACAACAGCAGATTAGTTTATAAGTGAAATCTTCTGACCATTCAGGGGGGGAGGAGATGTTGCTGCGTTTTACATTTGTCCCATGGGGTTTGACCCATCGCCCATGGCGGCGGCGGCATGGTGCGCGGCGGCCAGCGAGAGGGGAGTCCCGTCCGACGTCACAGTCACCTTCTCCTCCTCACGGCGCTTCAGACAGGCCGCCTTGGGGTTCAGGTTTCGCTCTGGGAGGAGAAAGAGAAGGAGACCTGTTATTATCATGTCAAAATTGTGTCTTTTTCTCTTTCTTTTCAGAGAGCTGTTCTTCCACCTGGATCTCTAACTCAGCAGTGAGACTCAAGCCAAAAAGCCAAAAAACTTCAGCCTGGTCCAACACAATCAACAGGTGCTGCTGCTGCCCTCTCCTGGAGATGCTGGAGCACTACATGTACTGCAGTCTTAGCCTTAACCTCTCCAACCCTGACTTTCAGCTTACATTTTCCTTAAGCAGCTTTAAAGTTTGAATAAAGGAACGTTTCTCACATTTCTGGCTCGTCATTAAATCTATGTGATGTTTCCATCAGTGAAATATTCAAAATCCAGACTCCATGTTTGTAATAGCTGCATCCCTCCATGTGATGGAAACATTCCAGATATGTTGAAGAACCTCTACTACAATTTAAAATAAAGTTCTGAGAGTTTCAACAAAGCTTAGCTGTTCAGAATGAGTTTGTAAAGACGAAGCCTTTGGTGGCTCAGACAGAATTTAAAAAGATGCATTGTAAATAACTTGTAAAGCTTTTCAACTCTGATAGCAGCCAGAATACTGGTCCGGATGAGGGTGTGTCACTGCATTTGCGATGGCATCTGACTGAAACTTGATTCAACTTAACAGACAGTCAGTCTTGTGTCTTCATTTGAAACTGACCTCGCACTTGCTGCTCCAGACTGAGGATGACGGCCACGGCCTGGTGCAGGATCAGTAACTTGGTCTGAGGTTTGTCGCTCTTCAGGTGCAGCTGGACCATCCTGCCCAGCTCCTTGAACGCCTCGTTGATGTCGCGGACGCGCAGGCGCTCCCGCGCGTTGTTGGCCATCCTCCGTTCCCTCTCTCTCTCCATCTTCTGCTCCGGAGACAGGTCTTCATCGTCGTTGTTGCTACGATGACCAATGACGAGGACGAGGAGGAGAAAGAGGAGAGAACACGGGGGATGAGGATGAGGAAGGAAAGGATCTGAGGCTCAGTTTATATTTCTGTGTGGAGTCTGATATTAACACAAACCTGCAGGAGATGCTGTATCATTGTACAACTTAGTGACTTTTAAGACATGATTTATCAAGTGAGAAAATAACTGGGTTATAATATAAAAGGGGCCAATGTGCCATGTGTCATGCTAACATGATATTTCACAGGTCACAGGCAGTGTTTCACAAAGAATAGAATGGTCTCTCGTTTTAAAGGGAGTTTAGTGACTTTACTCTGTGTAGAAGAAAGGAATGAATCAGAGTTTAGTACAGTCACTAAAGTTTAAGAGATATACACATTCATTTAAATGTATTAACTGGACTCTGTTCCCCTTCATTTATGATTTTAGCTTTACTTTTATCAGAGTTGAGACTATTTTCAGGAGCATAGCTAAATCCTATTACATTATTGTCTTAGTAGGAGAGACGTCAGCTTTCTACCTGCTTAAACTGTCTTTCCGGCTGGTTTTGTGGTTCAACACAGCCAATCACAGAGTACATGTGTTTTAATTGACATGCTTTACTGTTTCTCTGGTCACAGCACTACACAGTTACAAAGCTTAGGGGTCTGCAGCCCGGTCAGTTCATGCTGGGTGCTCAGACCCAACACCTCCTTCACTCATTATTCATTACATACGGCTTACTCTACAGTGAGGGACACAATTTTCTCATGTCTACATCACTGGAGCTGTTGGACTTTATATACAATATTTAAAATAATATGGCATCATAACAGAAGTTGTCTGAATGTGGTAATACAATATTTTTTTTATCCTTAACATAGAGTCACAGCAGGGACTCATTTAGATTTAGTCATACTATCACACTCAGCAGGGTTTTCTATGGCTTTGCTATAGGGGTGTGTGTATCTACCAGTGTTGATGATAACAGTTATATTTATTTGATATATGAAACATGAGAATTTGGTGATGGCAGATGTCTGGCCTTGTAGATCCTTTGTTTGTTAGTTCACCTGGTTGCCTTTTCACTGTCCATTACTTTCTGTACAGAATGAGAGTATTATTATTATTATTAGTATCATTATTATCATTATTATTATTATTGTTGTTATTATTATTAGACATCGCAGTAGTCAAAAACAATCAAAAAACATTAAGCTACTGCTGCAACATAAACTAAGCTAGCTGAGCTAGTTGTAGCTAAATCCTTCTCTATGGTGAACATGGTTGTGTGATGCCATCTTAGAATTTTTACTTATGTTTAAAAGATTTCTCTACTGAACCTATGACTATGTCTGTGCTAGAGATGAGTAGGCTGCAGAGGTCTGGTAAACTCCTTTGTCAAACTGTCTTCAACTGACGCCGTCTCAGGTGGCGTCACTTGAGGACATTTATCAGATTCCACACAGCTCCCTCTGGAGACACAGAGGCTTTTATACAGCTGTTTGCACATATGCAACGGAGTTCCCCTTTGACTGTAGCTGGCAATATAAGAGAGAAAATGCAAGAATAGGAAACGTTGCACGAGGTCAATAAGACGAGAAAACACACAGTGAACCATGACGTCTGCTGGATCACACGATACATTCCCAAACCCTGTACCACAGCAGGGGCAACAGTTTTCATCTATTGTATGCTTCTTATTTTCATCATCAAAACCATTTTAATCATCATCATCATCATCATCATCATCATCATCATCATCATCATCATCATCATCATCATCATCATGACCACCACCATCATGAACAATCTCTGGGTTTGGGATCCAAATGTGTCTGATTTCAGTCTTCCTCCAGGTGAAAGTTAAACCTGATAAACTGTTTCATGTTTATCGTTGGAGGGATGAAGGCTGCTCAGCTGCACACAGGACGGGAAACCAACACTTCACTGTTTTCATTGTTTCAAACTGAAAGCTGACTGACTGCGAGCGTTTATAAAATGTGAGATCAAAGCCTTTGAGACACGTTAAGCAACATTTTTTGCAGACTTGTCATTTTCTCAGCAGGAATAATCATCAATCGTGTTTTTTCCGTCGGTGTTTGTTTCCCAGTCCTGAATGTGAGGCAGCACCTCTTTGAGAATATTGATTGTTGGCTCTACTCTCTTGTGTGAGAAACAGTTAAACCCAGGCTCAAGACCGTGGAGAGACTGACGGGATCAACCAGGAGCCTCATGTCCACCAGGAACCTCTCTTCCTCTCTCTCAACAGCGCTGCCTTTGATTTAGAAAAATCAACAGCAGCCATGTTTAAAAAAAAAAAAGAGAGACGCCTGGTGGATATGGACATTTCACGTACAAGAAGTCTCTGTATTAACTGATTTTTTAGCTGCTTCTCATCACACTTGGTCACTTCATCAAAGTCCAGAGGCTGGTTCCCAAAACACTCACGAGCTAAAGTCCTTCCACGTGTCCTTTCTCTCCAAAAATGACAAATTACTGCTTATTTTACTTTATTGTCTGGTACATCAGTGACTGAACTCAACTGAACATGTTTTTGTATTTGCTATCCAGGATTTATATAATCTAATTAAATCAAAGTAACAATGTGTAAACAAAAATTATAATGTCCTGCAGCTTATCTTAATGTTAATCTTTCTCCAGAAAAATGACTAAATGTTCTATTTTATCCCATGAAGGTGCTGGATGGCCACGTGTTCATTTCTACCTTGTGACTCCTTGTGAAAAAATAAAACATCTGGAACTATCTCCTGGAGAGTTTTTATTAATCAATGACACGTTGAATAAGGAAGGTCTCTGAGCCCGGAGGTGCTTTGGGAAGATGCGTCCCAGCCCAGCTGAGGGGTTTGATAGAAGCGAACAACTGGGAGGTTGGTGGGGTTACCTAGATCTTGACCTCTCAATAGATTTGAGCTCCTTGCTGTCGGCGTCCTCCTTCTTGGGGTCCAGGTTCTTTGAGTCCTGCAGGAGGTTCTCGTCCCCCTCGTCCTCAGACTTGATCTCTGAGCTGACGGAGGAGGTGCTCTGGCCCTGAAGGCCTCCGGACAGAGCTGGCAGGAGGAGGACAGGGGGGGGGGGTGGGGGGGGCGGTTAAAAGGTGTATGCAAATAAGTACAATACTTGACCATTTGTTATCATCACGTGGGTCATATGATGACACCTGAGCCAGCTGCACAGGCTGAATGAAGACGGTGAGATGTGAAAGCAAGTGAGTGGTTTGTACAAATGTTTTTATGTAGCTTCCCTTCATCCCTTCATGTGCCAGTTGCAGCCTAGAAATCATATAATTTGAAACTAACACTAAGACATATGTAATTTTACTTAATTAATTTAATTTATGTTTTAAATAGTCATTAACTGTTATTTTCTTCCTTTTTTCTTCATTAAAGTTTTCAGTTTTCAAGATTTTCACTTCACATCCAAAGTGAGTCGGGTTAGAGGGGGGCGGTGCCTGTTCAGTAACTTACAGAAACTGACAGTCTGACAAGTCACACCCTCTTCACCCTGCGACCGACCCACTGTGCAGAGGTGAGAGAGGAGCAATGGTCTGAACCTCTCTCTTTCTCTTCTCCCTTGTGTTAGTCTCTCCATTCTGTCACTTCACAACGGCGCAACACTATGAATGAGAGAATGTGCGTTGTAATCCCTCTTATTCAAACCACATCGTATCTTCCCCTCTCTATGGCCGGCTTTCACTCAGGCTTCAAGTATGCACAATCAAAACAACTGCAAACACTTTTACCTTCCAACGCGGTCGAGCCGCACGTCGTATGAACTACTACTTTACCAGCGTTAGACCTGAGCTCTAAACCATTAGCCCTAAGGTCGGGGGTGTGTCACATGCTGTACAGATTTTAAAGCCCTTTAAGGCAAATATCGTCATTAAAATGACTGAATTTGGCTTGAGATCCTCTGCCCTGACTGATCTTTCTCAGTGGTAAAGGCACATGTAGCGTGATCATGCTGTGTGTGTTAAATGTTCCAACTTAAGGAAAGAATTCACAAAAATTCGCTGACGGCGATGGCCATTTGTTGAAACACTTCAAAACAAGTTATTTTTAGGTTTTTTAAGTTGCATGATGTTGTAGGAATGAAACATTTTATGGAGGAACTGGTGGCGAACAGATGGAGGAACAAAGAGTTTGACTCTGACTACAGATCACATCCCGAACAACTACCACAGTGTTTCCCTTACCTTGACCAAACAGCCTTAACCAGACCTTTACCGCATGGTAACGGAGGGAAATCATAAATGAGTTGTTTTTTTGTTTTTCTGGTCTCATTTACCTGTGAGGACTTGTTGTGACGACTACAGCAGAGGAGCCGCAGAACACGGCAGCTCTGAGAAAAACTGAGGCTCCACTCCCAAGAATAAACGTACAAAGTGATGTGACAGTGAAACGTGATGCATTCATACTCCTGGCTTGATTTAAAAGGAGCAGGTGCAGAAATAAAGGAAGAAAATCTGCCTTATTTAATTGGTCAAATGACATGTGGACATTATGCTGCATTCGTGTCCTAGCCTCACTTCCAAACAGTGAGTATCAGCAGCCGTTTGGGAAAAAGTAGCTGAAACTCAAAGTAACAGATACTGTGAATCCCCCACTGACGCTGACATGTCAGCAAACTGGTGGCTGCAACATCGCTGTCAGTTACATCTGAATAAAATCCATTAATAACACTGAAACACCTGATTCAGCTCTTCACTTGCTGTATCAGCTTCCACTTGTTAGAAATAAAAACCAAACAAACCACTGATCCCGAAATAACATGTGAACGCTCGAAAGAGAGAAAGAATACGTAGTTTCCTATTCTGCCGACAGAGTCAACACAGCTGACTCTCAAGTCGACCTCCAAGATGGCGGCACGGGAGAGTTGTGGTGCAAACGTAAAGCCTGTGTCTGCCTCTCCCCTCTGAACAGTGCAGTCTTTATTTGACGTCTGTATGGATCCGACATTGGGGCGCTGCCAACATCTCAGTCAACACAAAACACACACACACACACACACACACACGCACGTGCACTCACGCACACGCACACACACACACACTCACATCGGTCGGCCATTTTGGATCTCCGTTTGCCTGACTGGAGGCATTTTGTGTGCAGCTTTGAGTGACGGCCTGTGTTAGGTTTGTGTGTATTTGTGTGTGTGTGTGTGTGTGCGTCTCCTTCCATACAATCGCTGTGTGTTTGTGCATAAATAGCTGCATTTAAATAGACCTGAAACTGTGAAAAGTCACTTTGTGCCTCTGAATGTCTGAGTGGAGGCAGGCAGACGCAAGCTGACACCGGAGGAGACTGAACACTGTATATGGGGATACGCCTCAGTTTGCGTTAATGCAGCTTTAGTTCTGCTGAGGACGTGTCTCACTTTCCTCCCACAGGTTCTGAACTTCCTGGTTTTCTCCATAACTGTGTCCCAGTGCCAGACTACATACAACTGGAAGCATGTTTTCAGTCAGAAATATCAGACTGGAAAAGCGATCAAAAGAAGGAAATCCAAAGACGTCAGTATGCAGACTGAATTGGCTGTCAATCAACTACTGTCCCACAATGCATTGCACATAGGAAAGGATAGGAGTTGCAAACCATTAAAGGCTCTCAAACATTTTCTCAATCAGATCTAATCTAATTGTTTAGCTTCTTTAGCTAATTATTATCATTCTTTCTAATATTAATGTTGTTGCTGTCATTATTATCATTAGGTTTTTTTTTTGTTTTTTTGCACTCTTTAGTATTTCAGTGTTCTTCATCTTTAGCCCTGGTCTCTGTACATGCTGTATATTGTTATGATAAACTATCCGTTAAAAACTGAATCAAATTCCGATCATTAACTAAGAGCAAACAGTTTACCGGTTTGAAGTGGGCGGGGCTCAGTTGGAAAAAGGTGACAAACTTCTGTCCACCAATCAGGATTGAGCAACTTGTAAATCAGAGCCTGTCTGTCAAACCTGATCAAACCACACAACCGCAGTCTTGAGTCTTGATGAGTTTTTAATTGTTCGACTCAATAAATGACGCCTGTAGATGTGCTATTGCTTCGTCATGAATATTTAATGTTTTGGAGGAGTAAAACATTTGAAGCCACATTTTCAGGGGCTTTAAACTGCAACTGCAGACTGGAGAAAACATTACAGTATGAAACCTTCTGGAAGCTTTCCTTCCCTGTTTGTTAAATGGAAAGAATGATGTACTCTGACAAATCAGCGGTCCAGGATCCTGGGAATGACATTCATCGTGGATTATTCCTCACCTCATGATTCATATTCAGTACGATTAGTGCTTTGTACAATTTGTGTAAACCAGTCATTTACATTATGTATGTAAAATAATATATAAATATAAATTTACTTATCAGTGTATATACTATTAAAATCTGTCATCTTCTTCTATAGAGATAAAGTCTGTTTGAGCGAGAGAGAGCGAATGATGTAAATGTAAAATGTAATATAAATCTAAACATATTATACTATCAAAACAATACAAATGTTTACTGTTCATAATTGTTTTAAAATGGAGAGAGCTTAGAAGCCGCGGCTCTGCCAGTGCATTAGCCTGTGCTGCCAAAAACATTTTAATATCCTTTATTTACAGCCCCCACACACCCTGAAAAGCATGAGTGTGAGAGTGTGAGTTATGGACGGATGCAGGAGTAAGGAACAACTTCTCCTGGCTGAGGGTGTGTGTGTGTGTGTGTGTGTGTGTGTGTGTGTGTGTGTGTGTGTGTGTGTGTGTTTCTTTCTTTCTCTCTCACCTCATTACACACTTGGCTGTGGTCGCTGCTGGCTCAACTTTGCTGCCAGCAGACTCATTTTCAGCCTTTAAAAACGAGCTCAGGGCTAATTTGCTCCACAGCGCACTCATATACACTTTTGCTCCTCCATATCCATCTCACACATACTGTATATTTATTCTGTTTTTCTTCCGCTCCGGCGCCCAAGTCGAGGCTCGCCAGCTGAGATCTGACTCTTCACCTATCTGAACTTTCTGATCCTCATTCTGGGATAGTTTCCTCAGCTTCACCTGTTTTGTTTTTTTGTTTTTTTTAAATATATATTTTTGTTTCCCTTACTACCATTTTATTTCTCTTCTTTTCCCCTTCCCTCCCCCTTCTCTATCTTCTTCATTTTGTCTCATCTGTAACTTACTTACTTTATTTCTTTCTTTTACATTGTCTTTTTCTTCCTCACCTTCTTCATTTCTGCCTTTCCAACACACCCTTTTCTTTTTGACTTCTTTTTCTTATTATTCTAAATTTTCTTTCTCTTCCCTTTTTGTTTTTTACTTTTTGTTCTCATATTTTTTTCCATCTGCTCTTCTTTTTCTTTTTCTAATTTTTTTTCTCTTGCCTTTCCCATTAAGCATTCTTGAGATCATTTTCTTTTTCTTCCTTCCATCTTTACAGTACATCTTTCCTAATCACTTTCTTTATCTTTATCTTCTCTTGTTTTCATTTTCTTAGTTTTTTAATTTGGTGACTTCCTCCTCTTACTTTTCATCCATCCCTGGAAATTTCACTTTTACTTTTTTCTCCTGTTCATCTTCCTCTCCATTTGTGCTTCCTCTTCCTCTTTCCTTAACCTTGAACACTTTCTCCTCTGTGATCTCAGTGTTGTCCTCTGTCCTGTTTTACTCTTTTCTGTCCTCTTCATCCTCTTTTTCTTTTCTATGTCCCCTTTTTATCCTCCTTCTTTCCTTCTTCTTCATCTATAATAACTCCATCTTTAATTGTATTATTATTAACAACAACAATGGTGCAACAGTATTCATTTGGGTTAGAACTGTATATTTTGTGTTTGTGCACAAGTGCATGATGGGATAGCAGTGGGATGCCTGTGCCTTCATGGAAACACACACAGACCCATGAACAAAAACAACAGATGCCAGTGCAGTTTGTCCATCACTGACTCTTTGTTTGTGTCTTTCTCTGTGTTGTTCCTCACTGGATGAAGATTCTGCCACACAGCGAAGACGTGCGCATGAACGCTGCGTAAGTGACGTGTGTGTGCGAACGCGTCGGGACTCACCGCGGTAGGGGTCTGGCTGGCTGAGGTCTGGCGAGGTGGCTGACTGAACGGGCAGCTGAGGCACCGGCACCTGACCCGCCATCGAGTGTCCGCCGCGCAAACCGCCCACGCCACCGCCGTCTTCTCTGTGAGAGCCCACCTGGAAAACAGAGGGAAGAGGCACAAAGATGTGAGACAGACGTTCATGTGAACAAACAGCTGCTCTGATTCTGTCTGCAGCCGACACTGTAAGACACAACAGTGACTTCAGTCCAGATGTGGTCTGAACCTGTTTCAGGTCTGAGCTTACGGCTTCAGGCTGGTTTGAGGTTTCATTTCTCTGAACTCTTTTGGACTTATTGTTTGTTTTTGTTTATTTTTAGTTTCTTTTTTCAGTGAGAGCTTTTTGGCTGTTTTGTCATTTCACTGGCTTCAGCCTGTCTGTGGCCACTGGTTCTCACTGAGGACGGACATCTTTACAAATGACTCCCACATGTAAAGTTTCAGTTTCATAAAGTTTCAATTGAAACATTCAATTTGGCTTTTTTCAGTAAATCTTTAGTGACAACAGAGAAATACTATATTTTATGAATATTATTTGAGCATGTTTGTTTACTTGTAATTTGTTAAAATATTAAAATGTTCTTCTCATATTATACATTGATTGTTTTTGTGATGTGATTTTGTGTTATATACTGTATATATATATATATATATATATATATATATACACTGTATATAATTAACTTGACCTGGCTCATGTTCTTTCCTTGGTGGTGGCATATTTCATAAATTAATTCATTGATCTGTGATTACTCAAAGTATTTAAATTGTTAATTATGTATTTCTGTATCTTGGTTTTACATTTTAAGTGTTGTGTGAATGTCTTATTGCTAATACTTTTATTCCAGATGTTAATATAATTTATGACACTTTTTAACCAACACAGTATTATATGATTAAAAACCAAGTAGAACTAAATATATTCTGGAAAAAAAACTGAGAGGAGATGATTTAAGATCAAAAAAATAAAATATATAATGTTGTTAAACAGTCTGTGTGATGTGATGGTTTCTTTCTTTCTTTCTTTCTTTCTTTCTTTCTTTCTTTCTTTCTTTCTTTCTCCTCCAGATGTAGTTTTATCTTTGGCCTGTTGAGGGCATCGTCTACCTTTCTAAGCCACTGAAGATCTCCATCTGCTTCTTGCTCTCTTTCTCTCTCGCTCTCTCTCTCTCTCACACACACACACACACCCCTATACACCATTCCTTGAGATGTTTTTTTTTCTTCTCCATTTTGTCCTGTTCAGTACAGCTCAGGTGGGCAGACTGTGCTCTGCTCATCCAGACTCCATGTGCTTGTGTGTGTGTGTGTGTGTGTGTACGTGTGTGTATGTGTGTGTGTGTGTGTGTTGTGTGTGATTGTGTGTATCTGTGTGTGTCTCGGTCCAAGTTCATATCTGCATGTCTGACATGTATATTTACAGTTTGTTTTTTTTTTTTTTACTTGTGTGTCTCCTTGTTTTTAACGTGTGTTTTCAATGAATACTGTAGGGTGCATGTCTGTGTGTTTGTGTGTGTGTGCTTGGCTGAATCCTATCCATCTGTCTGCCACACACACACACACACACACACACAC